TTTTTTTTTTTTTTTTGCCTATTTTTCAGCAATGCATTTCAGGTTGACGAAGACGGTTTCAAGGCGGAAGAATTAAATCCAACAACAAAGCTGCCCGTACCAAAAGTATTGTGGCAAGGACCTCACTATCGATTTGTTGCTTATCATCCATTCCTCTTCATCATTGCTAAAAATCAGAAGCAAATGTTGTACATTGGAAGATACTTATGAACATTTAAAAGTCAATATTTTCACTGTGATATTTTTTCTACATGTTAATTTATTACCGTTGATTAGTATAAGTAAAATAAAATTTTAAAATTGGTCTGAGTTTTTCTTCCCACATCATAATCATTTTTCATGACGACTGAAGTTGCATAAAAACAAGCGGTCGAGACGTCTGTTGGGGAATGAATAATTTAAATAACGCAAATATCAACAGGTTATTCTGTCTTTCAGATTGATGCTAGACCGATTTTTGAAATTCTTATAAACAGAAAAAAAATAAAAAATAACTAAGTAAATGAGTTTGGAAAAAAAAATACATCTTAGAGTGCCGACTTATTAAAATTTGAATTGTTTCTGAAGCATAAACATTTCATCTAAATTCTACCTTCCCCGCAAAGCATATGCAGAAGTACTGATTTTGAAACTTAAAGTTGTTGCAGCAGTACACTAAATGCGTTAAAAGCAACATATGCATTTTTTTTTTTGTTGTCTTTTGTCGGTTAGCGAAAATGGCATAACAGCAGTGAACAACAAAGGACATTAGGAAAAATGTTAAGTGCTAACGTTAGGGCAGAAATTTGCAAAAGAATTTTTGCAAATAACCACAATGGCCAACACTGTCCACTTGTAACATATTTTAATGACAAAATGTTCTCCCTACAGCAGACAAAAATAACGCCTGTTGCAGTGTAAAGGATATTATATTGACGTATTTTCTTTCCAGCATTATAAAAGAGAATAAATATAAGTGTATCTATATATAAGTGTATATATAACTATCGAATTTAGGTTTTGACCATCTATCATTTTCGCATTCTGTTCAGTCTGGTGTGGCAAAGAATTTATCTGGTAATGCCTTTTGTTTACGAGTCTTTGAAATATTTGAAAGTGATTAAGATGAGGCTTAATGTAATAGGCTTATATTTTTTTATTTTTTTAAATAGTTTTTTCTTTACTCTTATTTGGACTGCTTTGATGACAGTACTGTAAACTTAGTAAGAACTATGTAAGTCTAAATTTTTTTAACCAAGAGAATATAAGCTTTATTTCTTTCTGTAGAGACTTACGTATTCGTCTGACCTTATAACCCACGAGAAAAAAAAACTGATTTATTTTTCAGGGTTTCTTTTATTTATATGTTTATTCTCTATAAGGAGCTTCATGTAATGTAACCTTTTGCAGTTTGGGACTTCAGCAAACCTATAAAATCTGTAGCGTGATCGAAACGAAACCTTCTACATTGTTTTTGAACGACTCATACTTTTCAAACTACTAGCATCTTACTGAACAATTTTTAATTGCTAAGGTTCGCCTTTTCTAAAAACGATATTAGGTACATTGTGTCCCCTGTATGCAGTAAAAATTTCTGAATGGAATTTTAAAATATTGACAGGAATGGTTGATAAGACATATATTGGCTTTTTTCTCTACGTTTCTCATTTTATAGGAATGACTGACAGTAACAATTCTTAAAACTTCTAAGCTTCTCTGAAGACAAAACTTATTTCAATTGACAGGATGACAAATACAGCATTAGCAGCGGTCCGCAAAATACCAGTAGAGCTTCTAAAAACACATGCGTCTTTAAAAGTTTAAACATCTTAGTGATGCTCACTTGTTTCATCCATGTGCCTTAAATTTTCTCTATACCTGCTTTACAGTACTACTTTGTGTCTCTCTAAACTGCTTCTAAGATAGTGACTTAAGACTTTTGTCGTAGTGCGTTTTCTTAAATGTTCTTTTACAGAAGCAAAAGACTTTGGCCAGACAATATTGTCTGCAGGGCTTATTTTCAGGAGTTTTCTAGCTATCGTCTTTCAGGACTGTAGGTGATGTAGTTGCATTTAATAAAGTATTTACTGTCACTCAACATGCCTGTTGCCTAGCTGGAACATGTGACGTATTTAGAGCATCAGTGGCAGTGTAGGTGTGCTAAAAATGCGGATGCAGGGGTCACGGTATATATTAGAGACTTTCAAATGTGTTTTACGATCAATTGCTCTGCTCAGGTTACTGCCCATTTCCTATTCAAAATGACCTTGACTATCTTTCTCCAGATTAAAGCTTTTGATACTGCTTGAAAAAGTAGATTTGCTCAGAGTAAGCAGCGATCACTTATTTTGTCTGAGTTGTTTAGTGTTAGCTCTTAAAGTTGTTAACAGCAACTCCAGAAGGATATCTTTTTGCCAACGATTTTCAGTGCATTTGTTTAAACGGTCTTTTGGTGTCGTCATTTATTTCATTCTTCGATACCTTGTTACTGTGTATGGTTAAAAAGATTAAAAAGTTTTCTACTATGTGCGAAGAGTGCGTCAATAATTCTTTTACGCAGTGAATTTAAGGGTCTGGCATTAAGCTTTGTTAAGCGACTTTTAAAAAATCGTCCGAACCTTTGAGGGACGTAATTCATGAAAAAGCGATTTGTCTACAGTCTACAAACTTTTTCGTAGACACCTCGTCTAATTTTAATGCGACTATTTTCTTAGATTTCCCTGTTACTAACTTTCCTGGTTTACAGATAATTCACATATATTGAAACTTTCCTTTTCAAAATGGTGAATTACGAAGATATCCCACCGTCTGATATTGAGAGAATGCTGTTCATGGAAAACCGTGAGTTTGACAGAGAAGCTATGGCTAAAATGTCACCTAAAGAACGTGATAGAGCTCTGGGACAAATGTTCTTTCAAGTCCCTTATGACGCTCGTTTTCCACACACTCATCAGACCCGCCGATGCAAAACGTATTATACTGATTACTACCGATGCATTGAACTTTTGGGCGTCGACTATAAACCGTGCGAATTCTTTAAGTCTTTGTATAAGGCAGTTTGTTCACCGGACGAAATCAAAAAGTTCGACGAAGCCAGGAAACAGGGCTGTTTTACAGAAAGATTTGACCGCTAGGCGTTGTCCCAAATTGGCTTTTTCGACTTGTGAATTTTGAATTTGTATTATTTTCTTTGCTCTGGTTTCTTGCAGAACTTTTTGTAGCAAAACGGTTTTGCTGAGGATCTGTATAAGTTCTCCTGAAAAATGCTATGTGACAAATTTGCATAACAGTGGGGACTGCTAATTGTCGTTGATCCAGTACGATTTGTTTCTGTATCATTTGTTTGATTTTTTTCTTTTATTCGGTAAATGTTTAAATTGTTATTATAATTATTATTTTGAGACCACTTTCTCTTATTACTGTTTGCTCCTTTGATTTTATGACTGCAATTGGGAGTAAAGTTAGTTCGCAACTTTTTCTCTGCTCAAGAGCATATGCTTTTGTTGACAAAAAAACTTCAAAATACAGCATTTTGAAGTCAAAACCGATTGTTTCAGCAGTGCATAATTTTGCAATTCACGTGTTCTTCAAACTCTTTTTTAGACAGTGTCGTTTGAAGCTTCATTAATGCGATCTCTACTGGTATGATCAAAATAACGCCACAGTCTTGTAGTATATCTGGTCAGTTAAAGATGTTTCATTCACCGGGACTTTCTCAGCGCTGTTTGAGCTAAGTGTGCTCGACCCTAAGCCTTTGTTGTGAACCTACTTTCATTTTTCATATGGGGGTGTGAGATCCGTCTGATCCATCTGCATTAGTTCCAGATTCGTCCGTATTTTTTTACTAATTTTCCAATGATTTGTCGTTATAATGTCGTTTTCATTCGTGTCCCGTTTCATTTCGCCAGGTTGTTGGTAGCTTGTGATGTAATGAAGGATAGTGCACGTTTAAGCTGCATTCATATGTCCAAATTCACCCTTAAGCAATTTTCCTATTAACTCTTCTTAACCACTTTCATATCAGTAATTTGCATTTAATACTTTTAGATATTTAGGAAAATTAAATTACACCGTAACATGAGCCCGTTTTTTCTGCTACTCCTCAAATGTCTAAAACACTGAAGTCTTTCAAAGGAAACATTATGAAGGAGTCATTAAAAGATATTTTTCACTGTTTCCAACCGCTTTCCGTCATCTCTCAAAATGGTTGGTCCGTCGTTACTGTCGGTTTTTGTGCAACTATATCAATTTCGCGTATTCAGAAGTTCGTTGAAATGTTGGTTGGGTTTTTGCTACATCAAGAAAAGTAATTAATTGGCTATCTGTGCCAGTTTTCCTTTTGCGATTAATGGATGCTTTCCGAGATGTAGTCACTCTCGTTTAAAAATCGAACATGCAAGACTTCGAAAGCCTGGACTGATAACTTGAAATTAACAAATACTCAGGGTTTAAAAAATATGTAATGATCTGTCAGTTTCAGTGACTATATTAATTTTTTGTAAAAAGAAGCGTTTTACTTCCAGAAGCTCGGCTTGTAACTCTCTTTTTCCTTACAAATTGCCATAAATCTTACACTGCTGTATGCAGTCGATCGTCCGGGTACGGTATGCCTAATTCGCTAAATAACTAGCTCGTTTCACTTGTCGTCCGTGGATTTTCAATACCAGAAGTCATCTCCAGTCAAGAGTAACAGTGAGTCTTTTGAACCTTGGAATGACTGGCTGTATTGATCAAAGATTTTGCAGCAAGTCATTCCGAATTTATTGCTCATCTCAAAAAATTCTGTACTATGAAATAAAAGCATCGGTGAAAGGACCATATGAACCATTTCAAAGAAGTATTTGGGAACTAAAACCAAATTAAGAAAATACGGCAGTTTTTAGGACCGAAGAAGTAAAAAGCAATTAGCACTTCAATTTGAAATGCCAGGTAAAGAGGTGTATTTAGGAGAAAGATTTTACGAAAATAACTTAAACTTTAGCTATGAGTCGTTATTTGCCGAATGTGAACACCGAACTTCGCAATTTAGCCCTTTGCTTATTGTTTACTCGTTATTTCAATTTTCTTTAAAAAGAATTTTATCATAGTTGTGGATCAGGGCGGGAACGACTTCGTTACTGACAACCTGTTTACAATTAACAGTTGAAAAAATAGAGTACATCACAATTCATTTTTCAAGCAGTAGTATACCTACCTTTCCAACATCTCTTCCGTAAGGGCTACAAGGCTGATACAGGATCTGTTACCGGTAGGTTGTGAAGGCAAATAATTTATTCAAGTCTCAAAATATACCGTTGTTATAGACCTGTAGCTTCTAATATTTTGGCATCGATCCAATTGTGGTCTTGTGAGTTGTTTCGATCAACAAGGAGAAGACAGTTGAGCAGTTAGGTTGAAAGTCGTACGGACAGCTTGTTTTTCTTTCATTTTTCCGTTTAAATTTTTAAT